GTTGACAACTAAAACTATTATATTCTTGAAGGTTATAAAAAGTTATAGATGTTCTCGATCGGGCCTTTTCTAAAACATTCGAGATTCTTGGGTTTGCGGCATATAACAGTCGAGCAATATATGATATTTTGCAGTGAATCAAATCTTCTGACTTCTTTATAAAATCTGAAAGAACATGGCGTAACAAAAATAAAGTCTAGCATCTCAAACTGGCGTAAAGAATAACTTTAAATTTTTTTATATATACTTGTTAGTGATGCACAAAAAACAATCTGACAGTTAAAATGGAATAGAACCAGATTCACTCAGTTATACGTCACTATATCAACTATGAAGTAACATTCGACTGCAAACATTATATGAATTATATTTGTTATTCTTTCTATTTTTGTTTGTCTCGGGCTTCTCTAAACGGGGGTTCAAGACCTACACCTCCATGACTCTGAAAATTACAACAACCAAACAAATAGTTAAACACATGGATTACATTTTTTCTGCTGGAACTACTTGATTAAAACACTGTTTAACACTAATATTATCAACATTCTAACATACCTCAAGCTTCACATCCTCCCAAGGTATTATATCCCTCACTGATCTCCTCGTCTTCACCCGGCGAGTAGCTAAATCCTCATGGTTACCCCACCATCCCTCTTTAAGTTCCGAAAAGTCATATTGGATACCAAATGATACACGAATAACTTAAGGCTTGTTTGTGGTTGATCCTGCGAACAATCATCGGTGCTACCAAGTCAAGAAGACAATGAATTTTCAAAGTCTCATAAGCCTGAAAAGAGAACAGAGAGTAAGATCAATAACACTGTACTTAGACTCAACTTTTTCATGATTATTTCGAGCATTAGAACACAAGTAAGCAAAGAAAAACTATACACTTGAGCTAGATTCAAGAGTTCGTATTGCTGGACGAATTCAGAGTCGAATTTCTCCAGATAAGCCTCAGAAAGATCAACTGAACCATGTTCGGAGCAAAACTCGATGATTCCCTGGAGGATCTTGCTGGTTATTGATTTGAGTTCGATATCCATCGTGTATCCATTAGAATTATCAATGTGGATGTTTTTGATCAAACCACTAAAGCACACCAAATCCTCTGTAACCTTAAGACTATTTCCGTCACAGCACAAGAGGGATGTTATGTAAGAGGGGTAGAGTAAGATTATGTTATAATTCTGCTTCTCGTCGCTCAAAGGAACAAAGCAACTCTTGGATTGAACATCGTTCAGGAGCTTGGCACAGAGATTATTTATGGAGGCGAAACGGAGATAAGTTATGTCATCGAGTTCAGGGATCATTAGCTCGAAAAAACATCTCATGCTTTTGATAACAACAGAAAATTAACTATTCACAACTTTAGACATCCCAGGAAGACAGCAAGGATCTTCCTCAGCGCCTACTTCTTTAAACCCAAAGATTATGCTCATCTGATGATTCGTTTTACCTTTGATGTGTCTTACCATGGGAGGGACACACCTGCGAAGGAGGCCCTCGATCTTCAATTCTTTAGCAGCCTTC